CAGCTGTGCAAATAAAATATTTAATTATTTACGTATTAGCATCAACTTTTTAACTTGGATTAATCTCTATTTTTACATTAAGTGCGGTACAAACAGATAAATTTTATCATAAAAAAATATTATAAATATTGTATTATAAATTTTTCATATAAATTTTATTCCATAAAAACATCGACCACAAGTCATAAAAACGAGTAAGACGCATGATCAAAATTCAATATTATACAAATACTTTTAATGAAACAAAAAAATAATTGCACATTTTGATTTAGATTACTTTATCAAATTTTATAATAATTTAATTTTTAGATAGAATATATTGAGCTTTGGTATGCGACTAATAATGTTTTAGTTTACATACACGTACATATATAATTGTACGTATATATATAAAATTGTAATTTAGATAAATTTGTTAACTGTGTAAGTTCAATCTAAAATAAAAATTTAGAATTCAAGAAAATCTCACAAGATTTTGCTAAAATATTCGATAATAAATAGGATGCCATTTTGGATGATCAAATTATTATAATGAGGAAACAGTCATCATTATGATCATTACACATAAACCACATATATATACATAAGCTTTAAACTTTAAATGAGCGCTCTTATTAAAGTTTTAAACAATTGCGAATATACTGTCATTACGCATTACATAATCATTTCCATAATCACTTTTTCGACAACTACAATCGACTTCAGCTCATTGTTGCGCGAAATTGCCGTTTGTTTGTCGTGCAATTAATGACGAGAAGGTGAGCTAATTATTAGCACTGCCTATAAAACGAGCACTCTCTAATTTACACCCATTGATAATTGGTTCCTAGCAACGACTAATTAGTTGAATTTAAATAATCAACATTATATAACTATTAGAATTTTCGGCCAGTTTTTACAAATTACGAAATTAATGTTATATATTTTTGACAACAAATATTTACAATAATAGAGATATTGCTAAAATATTGATGTTTATATTTGTCCAATATTAATTGGAAATTCTCAAACCTACATACATCATTGACATATAAAATTGTTCGCCTACGAGTTGCTATGTAATCTTACGAAGAAAATACAAAAGAAGATAAATCAAGATGATTCAGTTTTAGTAATATTCAAAGAATTTTATAATTGTCCAATGTATCCTATTTTACTCACCAACAGGTTAAAAAATAAATAAAATTTTATCTAAAAGACGAGAGTCAAGATATCTCTTCCTTTATGTTTAAATGTTCTTTATGTTTTATGTCATGTTCCGTTGATATAGCGAATTTTGGCTGAAATTTTGGATATTGTTTTCTCGGCATGACTTTCTTAAATATTAATACTTTTCATAATTAGTAATATCGATATTATCAATTACAAAAATTATCAAATTATATCAATTATAATAAAAGCTTTTTAATAAAAAAAATTAATCAAAAAGACAAAACAAAATAATTGATGTTCATTCATAAAATGTCAAATTCAATTGATAAATAAATCCATCGTTTTCTTTTTGTGTATACATCATCTTGTATTAAAGAGTTTATACTCTAGATAGAAGATGCAGTTTTAGAATTCCATATAGAGCAGTGGAAGACGAGACGCCTTATTTCAGTAGCTGATGTCTCTTCTTCATGCGCTATAACATGAAATGTCGCATGTATAGTTTATAAAAGAAAGCCATAAGGTGAATAGATTTCGAGGAAACTATAAAACGAATAGAATAAATGCTTGCTGCATTTTTATATTAGACGACATCGCCTTCGCTAGTAAAATCGTTGACGCAAAATATATAAAATATCGATGATTTTTATATTGTAAATTTCATCAGATGTTACAGATTTAGCTTATCTTTTGTATCTTGTAAACCTTTTATAACATGAATTGAGATTGGATTAGATTAACATTGACTTCCAAAATTTTTCAAAAAATTATAGTTATATTAAATTTTTCTACATTTTTTTATATATAATGAAACATTTACTTAAAATTTAATAAATAACGAAAACATTCGTTATCCTCGAAAACCTCGATAATAATTTTCACGTGCGCTTCCAATAATTTGTTGTTAAACATTAAAACATGCACACGCGTTGAAAAAAGATATCTATCATAATAGTTCAGATATAAAATATGGATGCATTATTTTATCTCATATAACACGCCATGCGTTATTTTCTCATATGCGCGTCCATCGTGTGCGATTATTACGCAAATAGCTCGCGCTTAACCGATTCGTTCACAGTAAGCCCTAATCAAGGACATGCAACATTTCACAGACAAAATTTTCTAGATTCGACGCGAAGATTATCCAGCAACGAATAGATAACCATTGCGAAAAAGTCACGCAAAGTTGCACATAATACCTCGTAAGAATCGTATCGCAAAAGCGTCATCATAACTTTCACGCCTACTTGCAAATTTCTCATGGTCACATGACTTAACTTCCTATTTATTTACCATAATTCCATAGATAGCGAATACGTATTTAATCAAATAAAATTATTTCCATTATATCAATCATTATTATATTACATATAAACATCATTTGTACATCCTTTTATCAATTCTCAAAATTTATTTTATTTTAATAAAATTTAAAAATAAATAATAAAATAGTAAAAGTTTTTATGGATTAATACGGATAATATGGATGGATTTTTATGGATTAATATGGATGGATTTATGGATAAAAATCCATGTTTAACATGATTAACGAAGTTATTCATAATAATGTATATACTCATATCAAATTCTTCTTTCTCATTTTTAATTCACAATTCCAAAATGCAATTTTTAAAAAATTTTTGAACTCTGTACAAAATCTGTACAATTCCTGAAAATTATTTGCCTCATTCATTTTATAAATATATAAACTACATGTATCAAAATTTTCCCTAATTTTCCATAATTTTTAGAAAGCCAGAAGTTATTATAAATGTATAGAATTAGACATTTTGCTTATTATGATATTAAACTTTTAGCAAAACCTTTAATGAACTTTATCAATAGAAATAGTTTGATGGAATAAGCGAAATATTTCTCATTAGACATTCCGCATAAAATTGTAGCGAGAAGTGCCTCTTCATAGAAGCAACTCAAGATTCAGTCGGATTGAAAGCGCTTCATAATTTGCTGCGCTCTGTAAGTGGTTCTTCCGATCGAGACGTGCGCGCCACCGGCAATTCTTATTCGTCAAGGTAGAATTTCTTTTCATCCTTCTATGAGTCGAATACGCGGAGCAAATGGAAGAAAGGAGAGCTTCAGATTGCAATAGCTCAGTAACAACCGTCGAGACATTTTCTAGCTTTTGAGATGCAAGAAAATAACGATGCAGCGATACGCGTACAATCACATGGCAAGATATGATAGCGTCCTATGTCGAAGGGCTCGAGGCGTTGCGCCTGCGTCGTATCAGGAAAGGAATGTTAAATGTGAAGTGCAGAAAAATGCATGTCCCTATCCCAGACACGTTTAGAAACAAGAGACAATCGCAGACAAAGGAGGTAAAGTAATGACGTATGCGATGAAAGGGTGCGGAAAGGAAGCGCGCACAAGATATCAAACAATGCGTATATATATATATATATATATATATATATATATATACTACACACACACACACACACACACACACACACACACACACACACACACACACACACACACACACACACACACACACACACACACACACACACACATATATATATATAGAACAAAAAGAATTAAGAAAAAAGAAACTTATAAAAAACAATCTTTTACCAGTCTCTAGACGGAGCATACATTCGATATATCATGTTTGCCGGAATATTTTTAGTCGCAAGCAATCTTTTGGTGATTTCATCAGCTGCTGAATTAGATACTGTACACACCAATATATTTTTTGTTGGAAATTGCCTCACAATCTATAAACCAAAAAATTAAAAATAAAAAAACAAGTTTGTCAAATATTAGATTTGACAAAGGAATATTACCT